CCGCCTAGCACCCCTTGTTGGAAGCACCACGGTTAATTTAATGGGCCCCTTTACTGATCAACACTTGGGTCGTTTCCAGTCTTCCCCTCTGACGTACAAAACGTTCTCCGTAAATAGCAGCCATCTACACGCCTGCCGGTTCTCTGCCGCGTGGATTCCCAGAAGTGGGTTCGCGGGGTCGGATGCTAAGTGGGTCTGCTTCTGGGTGGGTATCGTCTGATCTCTCTTCTTGTGGGGTCCAGCCTTTCCTACTTTCTGCAGCAGTGTTTCTCAGCAGATCTGCGCACACACACTCAGTTATGGCACTATAAGGAGAAAAATTTAATTGTATTTAAATTGTCCCTAAAGAGAAAATTTTGGTATGAAGGAATAAGATTTTGTTGGGTAGGGTTAAGCTTTGGAAGGCCACAGATCATTAATGTCTAAGATTTTGTGTGCTCCCAGGGACAAATTGTCACCTTCCTGGGGTGATGTGCCTACGCGCCCCCTCCCTGCTCCTACCCCTGCATCAAGGAAGCACTACACCAAGTGTGAGCAGGCTCAGTTCCCATGGTCCCACCTGGGAGCAGCCGGTCACACTTGGTACTTTTGCCATCTGATGGTGAGAAATGAGATCTCACTGCGGCTTGATTTCTTTTTAAAAGGGCTTCAGGAGTAATTGACACAGAATAAACTACACATATTTGAAGTGTGCTGTTAGATACATTCCAGTATCTGTGTACATCCAGGAAGCCATCACCACAATCAAGATAAGGAACACATCCATCACCCGCAGAGGTCCCACCTGACCCAGGCCTGGGTCGCGCACAGCACCCGCTGGCCTGCTTTTTGTCACTATAGGCCAGCCTGCATTTTCTAGAGCTTCATATAAAAGGAGTTGTACAGTCACCCTCCTTTTCCTCTGGCTTCTCTCTCAGGGTAATTCCTTTGCGATTCCTCCAGTCCGGTTGTTGTTGTTGTTGTTGTTGTTGTGTGGACACACCTCAATCTGTTAATCCACTCATCTGCTGATGGGCATTTGGGTTGTTCTCAGTTCCTGACTGTGGCAGAGAAAGCTGCTGCAACAGTGCGGCACCGGCCTTTGTGTGGACATGCTGCCGTTTCTCTTGGACCAACTGAGTCATACGGTAGAAATGCCAGACTCTTCCAAAGTGGTTGTATAATTCTGGGTTCCCACCTCAAGCATATGCAAATTCCGATTGCTCCATAGCCTCACCATCATTTGTTAAGGCTGGTCTTTTAATTCAAATAGCTATATGAGGGTATCCTATTGTGGTTTTAATGTCCATTTCCCTAACGAGTATAGCGTTGAACATTTTTCATGAACCCTTTTTTGCCATCTCTGTCTCCTTTGGTGAGTGAAGTGTGCTCAGATCTCATGCATGGATCGATAGACAAGCTTGTTTTCATATGATTGGGTTTTAGACTCAGCTCCTTTAGCAGGAGTGATTTAGAAATCTCTTTTTCCTGGCCTGACTTGCCTTTTTATTCTCTTAACTGTGTCATTCACAGAGCAGAAGTCCTTAATTTTGAAGAAGTCCAATTTATGAATTTTTTCTTCTATGGATTTTGCTTTTGATGTTGTATCTGAGAAATCTTTGCCTAAGCCAAGGCCGTAAAGTTGTATTCTGTTTTCTTCTAAATGTTTTATAGTTTCAGCTCTTATATTTTT